ATGCAGGCTGTTCCTCCTCTTACAACAGATGTGATGGCATTTTCATAGGTAAATAGTAGTTCAACTTAATTTTTTTTTTAGCAAGTCCATATAGCCCATCTGTTTAGTTCTGTCCTGTTAATGAATACGATTCCAATATTATACATTAGAGGTCAGCATACCATGACCTCTGGGCACATATCCTTGTTTCCTCTTTTGAAAAAGAAAGTTTTAGTGCAGCTCTGCTTGTTTCTTCACTAAGGTAGCTTAGCTGTGATAATCAGTAGAATATTCAGCCGAGTAGAAGAGCTGTATCTGAACCACATGCACAGCTAGAGACTCGGACAACTCCTACCCAGCTCTTCACCAGCCCTTGCTCTGGCATCAGTCCAAGGTCCATAGATTTTATGTTTGGGGATTAAGAAGGTAAATTATTTTTTTCTCTGTCTACTAACTTCAGTATGAATTTATAAATCTTAACTGCAGGTGTTTTCTTCTGACCAAAGCATTATTTTTCATGTTGATGTAAGAGTTCAAATTTTTTAGCAGAAGAGCTCCACCCCTCACTACAGTCATTCTGGACGAATACACTTTTAATCAGCAAAATTCCCTAGGTCGCTTCCTTTCCTTTTGAAAGAGGGAAAACAAAGCAAAAACAAAAACAAAGAAAGAAATCCAATGAAATGGGCTTAATGAGCTTTTCCTTTGCTCTCATGTTTGCTTCTGATTCTCATTCACTGTGCACCATAGCCCCAAGCTAACAGACACTATCACCGTACCTGTGCAGACATTTGCTCTCTTCCAGAGTAACTAGATGGCCAGCAGCAAGCTGAAATTGTGAAGTCATTTCCAGGTGGTTATCATTGGGCTTGTGCACTTATGTCTCTGTATCTTGATTAACCCACACAATCTTGTTCCTTTTTCTGCCACATAAAATTCCCTTGTACTCTTACTAAGAGAAGAACACAAGCCTGCAATCCCGTGCTGAGTCTTCTTCTGTATTTATTCACCAGATGTCTCACCATGAGTTCCAAAGGAAACCAATTTTCCTTTAACTTTCAAGGCCTGATATACATATCTCTGAATTTACTATAAACACACGCTTGTTGAGTCATGTGAAGGAATGTGTGCACGCTCATGAGCACCAGAGCCTTCACAATGAAGTGAGGGGTCGAAGCAGTGGAATGTTTTAAAGAAAAACCTAGGAAAACTAAAATTCTACTCTGCCAACTATGCTCACAGAAAGGAAGAACAGCTCTTTGATGATATTCTAAGAATTTGATTTGAGCTGCTGATACTTTAGGCTTCAATTTGCATGCATTTTCTTTAGGAGGCACATGAAGAATCTATAGCTCACAAAACAGAATAGTGACATTTAGAATTCGATATATTTAAATCTGCAGTGGAAACATTTACAGCGGTGCACAGAAAATACCTTAAGTTAGCTGAAGTCTAGCCTAAAATACAGTTTCAACATTGAAATATTAAGACTAGAATGAGCAATTGTGATTTTATCAGATCAATGCCAATGCTATAAACATTACATAAATAGCAGCTTTACCATTTCTGAGACTTTCCCACCTTCTGTTTGCTTCTTCTGCTTCTTTTAAGATTCAAATTTAATCTAAACTCTGTCTGAGACTGTCCTGTGTCTACACTGAAGGAGCACTCAGGGCATCTAAAGAAATCTGGTCAAAGTTCAACTACAGTACCTGCCTACTGCAGACTATGTCAGGCTTCTGGGTACTCTTCATTGCATGACCTAAGAGCAATGTCTGTCTGAATCATCTTCATATGGTACACAGCCCAACACGGAAAGAATTTAGGAACGGAATTGGAAATACATAGCTATTTAAATTGAGAAAACAGCAAATGGTTACAACAAGGATAATGTGCAAACTTACAGAACTCTCTGTGTGTTTGTTAACACTGAAATAATTGGAAAATAATATATAATTAATGTCATGTACATTGTAGCCTTTAGTATCCTATAAATGCATGAATAACCCTGAAATAGACATAGCCTCTCCAAAGTTTTAATATCACTAAATATAACTCATTTTTCGACATCATTGTCTTTTAAAACCATTAATAATCTGCAAAGTAGAGGTTGCCTTCAGGGTTATTTCCCACTTCAATCAGTCTTAAGTGTCGTCTACTACACATGCTGATATGAATGGGTCTGTGATTAAAGACAGATTTCTGTGCTGTTGCAGAAATGTCTCAGGGCAACAAATCCTCATCTTATTAAGCATCATGTACACACCTCTTAAAACAGTGTAACAACTGACAATTAATGGTAAACTCTTGTGTAATATCAGGCTCAGAAAGTTTAGAATGAATTTAAAAATGTAACCCAAAATGATGTAAATCTAACGTAAAAATGCTTAACTATAATAAAACCACTGACCACTTGACCATTGTTAAACTTTCTCAAATTGTGATAGTTAAGAAACCCCCAAATTGAGAAGGCATGTAGATATTTTTGATTGTCTTTTTGTAGTACAGGCTTTTAATAATGGAGCCACATGTTCTGTTATTTATATCATTAACAATTGATCCATTTTCTTTGATTTACTCACTCAACCAATTCATATAAATTTCTCTATTCTCAGGGTTGTTAAATTGACAAAGTCTGAGACTTTCTTATGTGATACAGCTTGTACAACCTCCTTAGTCAAACTCTGGCTTATAACATATCTGTTTTCATATTCAAGTGCCATTTTGAGTGTAGAATTCTATGATGTGGAGATAATGTTTTTAATGGTATGAGTAAAATCCCAAAATCTCATCTATGAAAACTGTATAATCTACCCTGGTATATCATTGAACTCTAGGTAATGTGAAAAACAAGCCTGTTTCAGCACAAAGAAAAACAAGGGCAACAGTGTTTGTACTACCGAGGTAGAATAAGAAAAGACAGTAACAGTAGAGTGTTAGATTCAGAAATTAGATTATAGTTGCGTTAAATAACTATCTATTGAGTTCTGACTATGTACCATGTATTTTTCCTAATGCTGAGATTGCACTGAATAGGAGAGACAAAATCTAGTCTTCACAGAGTTCCTCTTAGAAGGCATCAGATCTGTGTGTGGCAGGAAAGAAAAGGCATAGAGTGTGTTTCTAAAAATCATAACACTGCTTCTTATTTTTAGTATTGTGGTCTTTAGAAACCAAACAAAGAGTGAAGATAATTTATTGCAAATATTCTAATATCTATTAGGATCTTCAGGAACAAAAACCTGTTTGGCGGCCAACTTGAATTTTTCTTTTAGAATCTCTGGGGATTTCATAAGTTAAGGTTGAACATTTCTACTTTTTCATTCACAATATTTAAGATTCAAACAACCAGATGTAGACATAGTATTTAAGTGAATATAAGAACATATTCTAGTAATAATTTTACAAATCTCATTTTTTCTGTGATCTATTTTGTTTAATTGAACAGCCAATGAATCGTGTTCCTCAAATGATTCTGTTAAATAAAAGTTGTGATTCCTCTCTCTCTCTCTCTCTCTCTCTCTCTCTCTCTCTGTCTCTCTCTCTTTGTATGTGTGTGTGTGTATGTGTGTGTGTGTGTGTGTGTGTGTGTGTGTGTGTGTATGTGTGTGTGTGTGCTGATGAGTTCTCAAACAAAAGATGAGTGAACAAAACAGGAGAAACAAATAAAGTAGAGTAACGTAGATGGGTAAAAAATTCTGGAGAGTTATCCTTCGAAATTAAAGGCAAATGGCCTTGGAAATTTTCTTACTTTTACAGGGAAATCGTCCATGGATGTCACTTAGTACAACGATGCCTACCATACTGATGTAGGCCATTCGTGGATATCTGTTGATTGAATAAATATGTGCCAACAGTTTTCCATTGAAATCATAAATAAATCTATCTGATCACGCTAGTTCAAATATTTACAGATGAGGTAGATATAAAGAGGCTTTGCCTAAGCTAGGATAGGAACCATATCCAAATACAATTACTTTTACCATTCTAACTTCCTTTCACATAGATTATGTGTCAGATAAGGACTGGATATACTTTAGAACAAAGAATTACAAAACACAAGAGAACATTTTCAGCCTTTCATACAGACTTTACGTAGTAAAACCAATCCGGCGTGAACTTCCATGGGAACCAAGAGAAGGCACACAGTTGCATGCAAACCAAACATGTCTAAGAGTCGAAATGCTGCCCGACTGGAAAGGAGAAGCCAGCTGTTCAGTGCCTGCAAACATGGAGCTTTTCTCCTGTAACGAATCTCTATGACTTCAATTTATAGTTCCCTCCCATCACTGTGTAAGAATCTTCAGTTAAAACAATCTGGTAACAGATTGGAAAAGTACACACAGGTCTTGAAAACACCCTGGGAGTTAACCTGGCCCATCCTCTCCTAAAAACCCTGGACTTTCCCTCATCTAGACAGAACATTTTAAAAGGATAACGCACTCTCATTTTTAACTTGGAAAAAATTCCCCTCCAATAGATCTTTGTATTTGGCTATTTTCATTGTGAGGGCATACATAGTACCATGGTATTCTATAAGAAGTTCTGCCTGAAAACAGTTGTAAAAAAAGGTTTCCTCTAGTAGAAAACACATTTCTTATGTAATTTTTTTAATTTAAACACTCTTAAATTACTTCTCAAGGTTCATGCCTTAGATACAAGTAGTTTCATTATATTTTAAATTTAGAAAAATGCTTCAGCCTTAGTGCTGGTTAAACTTTCCTAATATGATTTTTAGTGCTACAGGGACTGTGGTTAATGTAAAAAAGCTGGGACAATTTTACTTAAAGCTTGGGAAAACTTTACTTTACACTGCTACTGATTTTATTTACAGTTTTTATAAAATCCCATTTAAATTGAAATAAAAATAAAAGAAGCAACATCTCAATTCAAATATTTACTAGATATTTAGGATGGTAAGATTTATATTTTATTTAAAAAGAAATGATTTCTTAGCTTCAATGATTTCACCCAACTCAAGTCATTTTAAAAGCATTTGGCACCATGAGCGAGCCTCTTACCTGTACTGCTGGAAATATTAACGTCAATACTGATATCAGATATTCCTCCTCCCTTCAGAGAGGCCACGCATGTGTAAGTCCCAAAGTCCGTGAATTTTAAATCAATGATATCCAAATTTGTTGTTCCGGGGGATACATCCGGGTCAGTCTGTGTAATAACCATCCGCTCAGAACTTCTTAATGGACGACCATTTTTAAACCAACTAAATGTTAACTCCTCAGAAGGAACAGCTTCTACTTGACAAGATATTTTCACCTCACGCCCAATCTGGATGTTGTCATCTTTGTGATAAGGATCAGGAGTGATCCAAAATCGTCCTTTTTTTAAGGCTAAAACATAAAAATTCCACAAGGAGTTAGTGTTACCTTCATGATTGTGGGGATTCCGTCACTCTAGGTAATCGTGTCTGGGCTGAAATAATAAAGCAAAGTAAAATAGGATGAGCATGTGCTTCTTTGCTAGTTTTTCATTATTTACACTATACATCTTAATCGTTAATTCAGAAAAAAAACTAAATGAGAACCTATTTGAAGATCCTCAACATCAACTTTTATACATAAGATAAGGCTTGACAGTAATAGAAAAGATACTCTTTGAATTCTACTCACAATTGTTGCTCCAGTTAGGTCTTTGTTGCTGGGGAGTGAAACACTGACCAAAATCTACTTGGGGAAAGGATGGTTCTATTTCTTGTTTAAACTTACAAGCCATTATTGAGGGAAGCAAGAACCCAGAACAGGGACTCAGGCTAAGACCATGGAAAACAGAATTGCTTGCTAGCTTGCTTGCTCCCTTTGACTTCCTTAGCAACTCTTCTTATGCAATCCAGGCTTACCTGCCCCGGCATAACAACACACACAGTGGCCTGAGCCTCCTACATCAAGCAGCATTTAAGAAAATGTCCCACAGACATGTCCACAAGCCAATTCAATGTAGGCAACACTTCAGCTGATGTTTCCTTTTCCTAGGTGGACCACAATGGCAATATCAGCTAAGTATGACTACTGTATTTAACTATGCTGTACTATGACTAAATATTTTTACCATAGGAGAGACAGGTGAATCTCTGTGTGCTCAAGGCCAATCTAGTCTATAAGAGCTATTTCCAGGAAGACTCCAATGCTACAGAAAAATGCTGTCTCAACAAATAAAAAAAAAAATTAAATGAATCATGGAAATGGAAAGTTTACCTAAATCATAGGGCATTAATGTTTATAAAATAATATGGATCATCTAACCTAATACCTTTTTTATACTATGCTTTCACAACTCCATAATTTCCCAAGCTATATATATGCTGTACAAATTTTATATTAAGAAAACTTCCTCTGAGATTATAGCTACATTCTGATCAAAGCTGGTTTAGTAAGACTTGAGTTCATTTATTCTTACTAATCATTTCTAGATATGTGTAAAATGTGAACTGGTGGTGGGGGAGCTTCATCTGCAAAACATTCTCCTAACCCCACAGTATGTAGATGGTTCAGTTAAAACAAGGTTGACTCTTTCTTGGAAAAGACTAAGAGAACCCCTTGCATATGACCCAGAATGCATGCCATGCTTTGTCCTCACAACAGAACATTCTGGGTCCAGGGTCAGTGATAGCAATAATTGGATTCTGCCTTAATGGTGGACTGAATGTAGCTGGGGTGGGAGGGATGGCTTCCTAGGGGTCTGAACTTGGCTTGAAAATGTAGAACGAAAAGGGAATGAATTATTTTTGTTACAGCTGCTTCTCATATGGACATACTATTTGTTTTCTGTTATTGTCTGTGTTTTCTTTCAGCTTGATATTGGCCACCCTGCATATGAAATACAATTTATACAGAGCAGTTGTATCAGAATAAAATATGGGACACCCACTTTTAACCTCAAAGCTACAAGCTCAGAGATACTATCAGAAGTCAAGTGTCTGCAGTGGACCTGCAGACATAAGAAGCTATGCAATAATGTTTGCATGACTTCCTTGAACCTAACACAAGTTCCCTCAGTTACTCCTGGAAAATCAAGGACAGCACATGCGCACAGAACGAACAAGAGATGAGTAAGTTTTTAATCTGAAAAAGCAAGCCATATAAGTTCCTTTTTGTTCATCTTAAGAGTTTTCTCTTTTATGCATTGTGTCTCTGGAGAAGGAGAAAACCATGAAAAACAGTGTTTCCCTTCCTCTTTGTATTCAGTACATTGTTGTATGGTCCTTCTCCATGACTAGACACTCAATTCATTTGAGATGAACAACACAGAAATCACCAGGACCTTATGGGAATGTAAGATGTCATCATTTCCAATAATTCATAATTACAATATTTTCAGCACATTCTTATGAAGCATAAATCTAGGGAAACTAGGCAATATACATATGAAAAGCTTTACAGGCTTCAGGAAATCTGAATTACACAAAAAAACTTCACAAATTAGTGTTTATTAAAATGTAGCTTTGATGATAATGAAAAATCAGATGACAAATAATTACAGCACATTTAATATTGTTGTTTATTGAATTTTTCATAATAACATGCAAATTCTTGAATCTCACTTCTGTGGAACCCTATCTTTATAAGTAGGTTACTGTAGGACAAACCAATGATACATTGAGGTGATCTACTACTTAGAATAATGTGCACTGAGGCTGCATCCACTTTCTCAAGAAGGGAAATGTAATTTAAAACATGGTCACACGTTGCTAGTATATTAGGTACAAGATACTGTGTACATATAATTCAAATGTAGTAATAGTTCTACTCATAATCCAGTTTAGGGTGTCAGAGAATAGCTCTTCTTTAAAAACATTAAAAATACCAAGAATGTTTTTATTTTTAGTATAACATCTAAATCTGTTTTATTTCTAAATATTACTTCACCTTAAAAGTAAATACAAATTTTAAATGGAATATTACTGAAACCAAAATTGTGAAGCAATAAATTATATGTATCAACTTAATAAATAATTTTAAACTAATATGAGGGTACATTTGAATACCATTAAGAGCAATTTTATTTATAAAGTGGTATATTGATTGACATATACAAACAGATGCAAAACCTACTTAGGTGTTCATGTGATTGGGATCCACGTAACACACAGTACTATTGTGCAGTTCAGTGATTTGCTTGGAAATGAATTAAAACTATTATTGACACCAGAGTCACTTTACATTACTCAGCCAAATTCAATTGAAAGTGCTAAACTCGAAATAAAAAAATCCCTGATAAAACATGTGAAATCAATATTCACATTATATGCTACAGACTGTTTAACTCATGGAAAAGTTATCTGCAAAAGACTAAGTAAAAAGATTAAAGATTATATAGCTACAATAAGATTAAATGTCATACATAATTGCAGTATTTTATAACAATGCAATCAAACATATTTTAATAAGCTACTAAAACAATAAATTTAATGCAAAAGATATTTGATCTCTGTATAAAATCATTCAACGAGTTAGCCAAAGCCAATCAACGAAAGGCTACAAAAATCAAAAGAAAAAAGGTCAAGTTGGTCTGTTTAATTCAAATCAAGGTAAAGAATATCAGAATAAGAGTTTGAATCACTCACCTGTATGGCAATCATTTTATGTTTCTTTATGACTTTCCTGTATCTAAACAAGTAATTATGGAAACAGAGGAGAAATAGTCTAAACAAAATAAACTACAATTGTGTGGACATGAAGTATGCTTTTCTACACTAACGGGAGATTAAAATTTATTCGATTTTCTAACCCATTTTGTTCAGACAGCTAAGAGACTAGCTCTGTAAAGTAGCACGTGTAAATAGCAACTTGTAACTCTCTTTTAGCTTCTGTGAGGGCCTAGATGGGTTATCTAAATTTTATGGGCCAAGTGTGTCCTTCATAAAAATAGAAGGTATAAAAATAGTACTAGTCTTTCTCAGAGACCCACTGTGAGAAATAGCTTATTAGCGATTATGTTTGAGCTTTGAAAATATAAAGTGCTTAATTTAGTTAATAAACTGTGCAGCAGGTCCCTTAATTTACAATTAAACACTCTCTTTTTCAGTGAACAATTTCTAGTCGATTAAACAATGCTAATTTAAAGCCATTTCTTGTTAACATTTAAGAGTTCAACCTGTTCAAATCAATCTGAGATAAGTGCTTAAGTATGGTAGTTGTCCAGTAGACTTAAGAGACTATAGAGCACTAAAGCATTCTTTGAAAAAGAGGAGAAATCTCTTTTTCCAAATGTAATTTCTTAGTCAAATATTGAACATTCTCTAATGCCATCCTAAGAGTATGAAGAGGGAATCTGAGCTCGAAGTCCTACTCCCGACTTAGGGCTTATTGGCAGTTGTCAACTGCTGGCAGAGGGGGAGCCATTTTTCTATATGTGTAGACCTTGATAATTCTGTCATGCTCCAACATCAAGTCATATGTCCAAGACTAAATGGGCATCACAAAGTGCTCTTGGAAAAAAAAGACATAAAGTTGAATGGGTGTGGAAGAAGTGAATCTGGAAAGAGTTTAGAGATGGTAGGCATCTACTATCCAAACATTGTATAAAAGTCTAGAAGAACTAATACAAGACTGAAACACAGATTTTTTTGATTTATTATTTCATAAGTTAGATAAAAAGTAGTAAAATAAGAATCGAAGCAATTGATGAAGATAACACAATAAACATAGCAACTAAAAAAGTATCTCCTTGGAGCTGAAATTATCAGCTAGCTTTCTGCTTTTGGACTTCTGCTAAGAACTTATTTCATAAAGACATTGAGACAGAGCAGCCTCTAATTACCAATCTAAATTGCCGATTGGTAAAAAAATGGGGTTACAAGGTTTGTTCAGTGTTTACGAGAACTGACTGATTATCAAGAGGTCCAAGGTTTGATTCTCAGCGTCTACATGGTAGCTCACAATCATTACTAACATCAGTTCCAGGAGATCTGATGCTTCTTCTGTCCTCTGTGAGCATACATATGGTGCACATATATGTGTCAAACACCTCGTACATAAATTAACTAATAAACACAAATAGTGAAAAACATTCCAGGTATACCTCATCTTAAATTTCAGTGGAATTCTAGATGAAAAAACTTTAAAAATGTTACTGAGAGAGACACAAAAATCATTAAAGAATCATCAAATGAATAAAACATTGATTTTTCTAATCTCTCCAAAAGGAATTAAATATTTGTTTGAGAAATGAGGTGTATTCCAATGCCAGCAGATGCCAATTGAATACGCGGTTGGAAATAGATTACATCAGCAACAACATAAAATAGAATTAACAATGGTATATTTTATCTCTTCCTTTATAATTAGGCACCCACGGCCTCAGGGAATGATGAACAGCTTCAGAGCAATGCCGC